TACAGATGTGGGGCAGAGTGAGTCAGTTTTACAGATGTGGGGCAGAGGGAGACAGTTTTACAGATGTGGGGCAGAGTGAGACAGTTTTACAGATGTGGGGCAGAGGGAGACAGTTTTACAGATGTGGGGCAGAGGGAGACAGTTTTACAGATGTGGGGCAGAGTGAGACAGTTTTACAGATGTGGGGCAGAGTGAGACAGTTTTACAGACTGGTGCTGAGGAGGCCACGTCTGATGTCCTGTTTCAAGATGCTCTCTGTGTAAAACATGCTTCTTAACAGCGTGGCCCTAATACTCCATCATAAAATGTATAAATGCCTTTTCACTAAACTATTTCTGTTGCTGTTTTTTATGTTTTTATGTGTTTTGCCTCTGTTTTCACTTGATGTGTGCTGCTCTGCATAGAGTGTCGTAGCTCTATATGCAGCTAGTGGCTATAGCTCTATGCAGGATGACATTCTGTGATTAATGTTGTTTCTATGGGAGTTGTCTTTGGGTCACTTGTTTCAGACCATTGTCGGGCTCAGTAAAGAATCCTAACAAGATATAATAAATTGTGCATGACTTGTTACTGAGTGGTTGACTTTTCCTAACAAAGCTGTTTTTATCAAGGATTCCTCGCTCGCGCACTGAAACTAATATTTTATAAAAACTCAGTCCACATAAACTTCAGACAGGGTAATGTTTCCGTTCAGATTTAACAACTTAATCAGTTTAAAATGGACCTTTCTGCAGAACAAGCTGCTCCTGAGCCACTTCTGTCATGGTGGGGAAACAGGGCAGGAGCGTTCAAGGACCCAACACGGGTGGGAATTTACAGCTACTTCTACTTAAACCCTATTTTGAAACTAATAAACCATATGTATATTGTTGTTTAAAACAAAAATCACAACTCTATAATGAACTGTGTGTAATATAATCATATAAAAATCAATCATTACTAAAAAATGATTAAATAAATTCAATTCCACTTAGGGCCCCCTAGTGGCCAGGGGGCCGTGAGCAGATCAGATCTTCTGCCCATCAGAGAGATCTTCAACTCACACCTCCAGGAGAGCTTTGACCACATCCCAGCTGAGGCGGGACATTGAGTCCGACAACTTGGTGGTGGACAACGTCCGACAACTTGGTGGTGGACAACGTCCGACAACTTGGTGGTGGACAACGTCCGACAACTTGGTGGTGGACAACGTCCGACAACTTGGTGGTGGACAACCATAATCAGGGTTGCACATTACTCTTCACACTATCTGAAGTTCTGGAACTGACCTTCTTCTGACCTTTGCAGATCCTCCAGGCCCTGGTCATCGTCCTTTAACTGATCAATAAAACTACCGGTACTTACCTTTTGACCTGGCCTCAGTGGGATCTTGCTGGTTTTCAGAACCCTGAAACCTGGGTACAACTTTTAACAACCAAAAACAACAATACATCATCCATCATTATGTGTTTCAAAATATTTAATAATCACATAAATAAGCTTATTTTCATGAAGGTTTTCTTTATTTTTTATCTTAGAAGAATGTGTTTCTCTGCTGAGTGTCCATGATGTAAAAAAATAAATAAAAATCAGGAATGATTCAGGTCAAAATGAACGTTACAGAGAGAAGAGTCTTTACGGTCATAACACATGATTTGAGGGTCAGAGGTCACATGCAGTATTTAACTGAGACTAAATACTGAACAGTCTGATTCATTCAGTCAGCCTTTATTTATACAGGTTGATACTTTTTCATTTTAATAACACAAAACCTACAACGAGTCAAAGTTCTGACTCATGAACAGGTTCAAGGTCGAGTCACAAAGTTTCAAAACTGAAGCAACAGAAACTTTGAACATCCCACCAAGTGTCTCAGAATCTGCTGACTCAGTTCAACCAAGAGAAGTAATCCTGGGTTTTCAACACTTGCTCAAACATTTGACGCCACACCATAAACTTAACTTATTCCACAACGTGTGGTCACGTGTTGACCTGCGTGACTTCTTTTACAGGAAACGTGTCAACTTCGACCCAGAAACAGTCGTCACGGTCTCCCTTCCTGCACAAAGGCAACAGTGAAAAGTCCCTTTGAACGGGAGGACACCTCCAGCAGAACCAGGCTCAGGACGAGCGGTCGTTTGCATTTGTGTGGACAGAACTTCTCAGTGCAGCCGGGGGGAGGAGGGAGTCCGGTTCAGTGGCCTCAGGATTCACCTCTGCTCTTTGCGGATGATGTGAGCCTGTTGACGTCATCGTCCCGTGATCTTCAGCTCTCACTGGAGCGGTTCACAGCTGGGACAAGAACCAGCACCTCCAGATCTGAGGCCATGGTCCTCAGTCAGAGGGTGGACTGCTCTCTTCAGGTCGAGGGTGAGGTTCTGCCTCAAGTGGAGGAGTTCAAGTATCTCAGGGTTTGTTCATGAGTGAAGGAAAGAATGGAGCATGAGATTGACAGATGGATTGGTGCAGCATCTGCAGTATTGTGGACTTTGTACCGGTCCATTGTGGTGAAGAGGCAGCTGAGCTGTAAGGCAAAGCTCTGTTTACCGGTCGGTCTACGTTCCTCCCCTCACCTCTGGTCATGAACTCTGGTAGAGAATGAAAGAATGAGATCGTGGATCCAGGAGGTTGAAATGAGTTTCCTCTGCAGGGTAGCTGGACTCTCCCTCAGAGACAGGGGGAGAAGTTCAGTTATCAGGAGAGACTCAGAGCAGAACCACTGCTCCTCCACATCCAGAGGAGACAGCTGAGGAGGTTCAGGCATGTCTGACTGGGAGGTGACCCCCAGGACAGGTTATTTTCCATCCATCTCTCAAAGAAACCGTCCATCATTAAACAGGGGTGGAGCCTCCTGGTTCAACTGTCCCCCTCTTACAATGCTGTGATTGCTAGTATCACTCAGCCCTCTGTGAACAGTAAACAGCCATCAGGTGCTAATGATCCATTGTTAGGCTGATGGTCCTTCTTGAGCATGTGATCAGCTGGTTCTGGACGTCAACAACAAACTGGTTGATCCACTCTGAGAAGGTGCTATTTAAGAGACTGAGTTTGTTGCAGCTCCTCAGACTGAAGAAGTCCTTTGGATAAAAGATGAAACAAGAAGGATCTGTCCAGAGGAACTGACTGAACTTTGTCAGATTTTAAAGGTACACTTTAATCTTCAACATTTTATCAGCTATAAGAAACAAATCTTACTGCTTCTTTTTAATTTTTGGTTAAAAATCATTTAAAATGTTCTGGATTATAAAATTAATTCATGTTTTGTACTCGAATATCTGTGATTTAAAATGTGAAAAGCAGAATCATTTCCCCTCTGAATCTTTTTTTGTTCTGTGACGACAGAACCGAGAAGAACAGGAACTTGGTGGTTTTCACACTTTCTAAACTTTCTTCAGTTTTTACGACACAAGTTTCTTCCGTGTTTTCTACAACCAGAGAGTTTTGACCTGTTCCAACGCTCTCGTTCTTCAGCTTCCATTTAAGACATGAACTCAGAACCAAACTTTACCACGGCTTCCAACCTGACGCCCCCCTCTCCTGATGGGGGAGGCGGCTGCCCCCCGGTGGGTATCCAGCTGGAGGGGCTCATCATGCCCCCGGTCCTCATCGTGGACGTCATCCTGGGGCTGCTGGGGAACATGGTGGCCCTGTGGATCTTCTGCTTCAGGCTGAAGGCCTGGAACCCCAACGCCCTGTTCCTCTTCAACCTGGTCATAGCTGACTTCCTGGCTCTGGTGAGCCTGCCACTGAGGATCGACGCCTTGCTCAGGGGTCACTGGGTGTTTGGAGACGGCATGTGCCGGATCAACCTCTTCCTGATGTTCTCCAACCGTTCGGCCAGCATTGCACTCATGACAGTGGTGGCGATTTACCGTTATGTGAAGGTGAGAAAGGAGAACCGTGTCCACCATAGGCGTCGCAACAATTATATGTGAAGGGGACGTGTCCCCCTCACACATAAAAAGTATTTGTTTGAACTAGGGCTGCAACAACGAATCAATAAAAATCGATGATTAAAAGCGTTGGCAACGAATTGCGTTATCGATTCATTGTGTCGTGCGATTATGCATCTTTCACGGCGCTGCGGAGCCGTTTGCTTTTGTTCACGGGCAGTTCATTGTCAACGCTGACTGACTGAATAAAGTTTGAAAAAAAAAAAACTGCAGCGCGAGTTGAACAGAGCGAGGGGGGAGCAGAGCAGAGTGTTTTTAAAGGAAATAAAGTAAATTTTACAAATGACCGACGCAGAGAAAACTGTTCGACCCAAGTCCTCCAAAGAGTGGGAGCTCTTCATAAAGATAAAAACTGAGAAACATGCAGCTTTGAAAAGTGACGACACGACACGAGAGAACCACGGAGATAAAAACGTAAACATGTCGGAGTCACGAGGAGGAGGAGGAAGGAGCTGCAGCTGATACAACTCTTCATGTGTTGCAGGTGAGTCTCTACAATTTAACACTTTGTTCTGTTTCAAGAGAGAAAACGTAACGTCAGTCTGTCTGTAGCTGTTTGTTTGTTTGTTTGTTTATTTATCTGATTGATGACGGTGATAGAGAACGTGTGTGTTACTTTTTATTTAATTTAATTGGTATAAGCAGTGTTTAAATGTGATTTATAAATAAATCTAACACAAAGATAATAATTTAATGATTAAGCTTCAACTTTTAATTTGCTGGCAATGTCTGAAGACACTGCAGGTATGGCAGGATGAATTGCATTTAAACAGGAATTAAAGTAATTTATTACATCTACTCAAATGTGTGTAATTAAGTATTTTATATATGTGTGTGTGTGTGTGTGTGTGTGTGTGTGTTTAATTGCTCTTTTAGCTACTTTTGCCTGAACCCAACATTGTAAGTGAAACAAGGCATTTCTTGAGATGCTGTAATAATTATGTTATAAAACATATTTACTGTCTCATTCCAGAAAACAACAACAACAAACAACAACATCCTTCATGATGGACAGACATCATGGACACCACAGCAGCAGCTGTCTTCACTGAAACATCCTGAACATGATCGTCACTGACATGAGGCCTCTGTCCATGGTTGAAGACGAAGGCTTCACTACAATGATCCACACTTTTAATCCAGGTTACAATAATCCACACTTTTAATCCAG